AATATTTTGGACGCACATGTTTTATATCGCGACTTGAATGGCGTCGGACTTAGAAGCCAACAGGTATGGAATCTTCAATGCCATTCGCTGGTATGTTTTTTTGTCTCTACGGAGAACGCTCGTGCAGCACGGGCAAGACCAACGATGACGGTGGCTCAGCTGAGGTAGCAGTAGAAAGCCCCGCTGGTTGAAAAGATGCCAAAGCAACACTCGGGTCAGAGTGAAGGCTTGTTGTTTTGGTGGCGAGGCTGTCAAAGAAAACCAAGCAAAGAATCGCTTGTTCAAAGCGGACTAACGAGCAAAGTTTTAGCTCACATCTTAGAAGGATTGACGTCAACTCAGTATCGCTACTACGAACTGGAACAACAGTAAGCTCTTGCAGAACTACTGTAAGAATAAAAGAGAAGAACGAGCAGTCGCGGCTTAAGTCATAAGCAAAATAGTTCTAAGTCGACTACTTAACTGTTGACTTTTAAAACAAATTTGAGTGCAACATCTTGTTACAGCTTAGAGCTTATGCCTTTTATTTTCCATTGAAACTTAACTTAATCATCTCGTAACTAGAAACGTTGCTTAGTGTAGCAGCTTTCTCGATTACGAGTAACAAAATTGGCAAAGTCAGCCACGTGATGGCAAAAAGTTTGCGGCTCAGTCGTAGTCAAAAGGAAGCTGTTGACTTTTTGCGTTCGTCTTGCACTATAACCTTGTGAAGTATTACAGATGTCCTCATGATCGCATCCAGGTTTTCTTGCCTCCAGATTCTAGTAGGATCTTTGACTATTGCAATATTGCGACTGCAACACTCAAGCGCGCTCAAGAAAAAACTCCCGAGATGTCTTTTAGCACCTAGCCATGTTTCGGGGTCCATGTGCATGCTAGGTGCGACAATTGTTCTTTGAATTAAAGTTATCCAATGAGAAATGATTCTAATAAAAATATATGAAATTTAGTGCTATTGTGCTCAACGAAGAGAAAGAAATTCACTTACCATAAAAATATTTGCTGAGGTCATTCTCGCTGCCCCTTACGACATACCTGAGCGGCGGCGCTTGCATATTGGCGAGCTCGAAAGGTTCCAGGACGTTGATGTCATAGTTGCGATCCTGGCATCCCGAGAAACACGGTTCAAAATCACAAGTCCTGTGATGCAACTGCCTCCACGACAATGGAAAATAGAAGTTACGAAACGACTTCTCTTTTCCCTAATACTACCCTGGCTTACACACATTTTACACTATTTCCATGCTTAACTTATTTATACAGTATGTGATTACCAGCTCACTATTTCTTACCCACACGTTGGGGTACCTTTTCGAAATACCTACCTATTTCCACTTTCAGAACTGTGGTTGCTTCGAAATGGAGACATCTCGAAAGGTTGTGCAAATATCCTCTGACAGCTCCCGATTAAGCTTTCGCAATAGCTCACAGACGAATTCTTAGTGCTGTATCTGCAAAGCTGATGTCTGGGTACCGATTTCAAATATCTGATAATTCCTCACTTTTAAGTGAAACACTTCAGTTTTGAAGCAGCAACTCATGGCGGTCCAAAGTTTTTTTTGCTCTCTTTTGGCCTATTTCAATATATCACAGACGAATTTGATAGATTTATCTCCATAGCTGATGCCGGTGTGCCAATTACAAATATATTATAGCCCCCCAGCTCGAATCGGAGCTAGCAACCACTCCAGTTTGTCCAGAATATCCTGTTAGTTTTCATGTACTTTTCTTATGACTGACAGATAAAGTTTTATGAATTCATCTTTAAAGCCAAACTCATGTCTGGCACCCTTACAGACAGCGACATAAAAAATCCGTGCCCACTTGCTGAACCCTTACCACAAAAAAGAATGCGGCAACCAATTTTCATTGGCTAATAATATTAGCAGATATTATCAGCTCAGCGTACTTTAGTTAAAACACCCTTCACTATAATCAGCCTGACCCTGACTAATTATGGTGATGAGGCCAGACCACACTTTCAGAATTTCAATATCCCGTTTTGTAAAACTACCGATCCAAATTTAAATCGAGCATACCAGGATAATGAGCCCAGCAAGATCTTTTCAAAACCGGTACAACTTCCCACATTTGTGACGTCACTAAAGCGCAAATGCTTGACTAACTTCATAGCCCGACTACTTTGGGTGAAGGGTGTAGTGCTTATCGGGAAAAGTTTAAGAAATTAAAAGTGCAGATTTATTGAAGTTATAACTACTGGGTGTCTAGGGATTGCTTTTGTAAAGCTGCAAGCAACGCACTCTAAATAAATTAAAGCTCATGTCCGAATGACTACCTTGATAGTAATTAGGCGTTTTTCACTGGTGGTGATATAACTACTACAAAGGTCGCTTAGCCACAAAGCTCGTAGTGTGGGCTAGCGGACCCATGACTTCCACGTCTAGGGGCTGGCAAATCTCCGTGCAGCTTGCCGGCAATGGGCACACGGTGGCGTTAGCCTCCCGCTTAATAACCTCATTCCGTTCTCCGACACGTGGCTATCGGAATTTGCGGCAAAAAGGACAGACGGTGTATCTATTTCGAACTTTAACAGCTCTTTGGCATAGATTTCCCAAACTCTGTTATCCATCCAGCCGTATTCTTCAGCGCAGTAGACGTGGCATTTTGGCCCTGCGAGTAGGTCGGCAGATCGTTCTTTTCAATGGACACGCTAGACAAGGCTTCCCTTTGACGCTGAAAGAATTGGTACTTTCTGACCTGTGAAAAAATTAGCAGCACATGACTCATTCGCGTACCGTCGACTCAAGCTGACATCACCGTGATCAGTCTTGTGGGGTGTTTCTCGGTATACTTGACCTTGGCGGATCCCTTGCGACCTCTTTCCGCTAAACTGTACTTTGGTGGGGCTTCGAAATAAATCGCGGCCTCGTCAACGTTGTAGATGGTGAAGGGCGAAAAGCGGTTTTCGTGTTTTTTTTTTCAGAGCTCTACCGCGAATTTTACCCACGTTTCTTCTAAATCCACCGCTGGCTTCTTCGTGTGCTGATCTACCTTAGCTGTAAGACCATAACTAAAAGAATAAAACCGCAGTAGATATTAGCAAAACATATTATTTAATATTGATTAGAGTTTAAAAAAATTAAGACCGATTGGAAAAATGCTGAAGCAAGCGCATGAATGCATTGTCAGCTGAGACAATAGTCTTCTTACCCGTCATGTAGCTGTTAAACCAGCGTCTGGGGTTTGTTTTGATATTCTTTAGCATCATGGTAGTGTACAAGGCCAGGACGAAATTAAAACGTAAGTTAATTACATTAAACTCAATAATAATTGCGTAACAAACCTCTTCGTCACGACGCATATCCTTCTTAAAAAGCGGGAGCCCGTGGGAAAACGGGATTATCTCCTTCAGGCCCTGTCATTTAGTGTCCTGCTTGTTCGGTGCCCTTCAAAGCTGAAAATGGCTGCTTGCTGAGCTGCCCAGCCTTGTACGGTGCGCGGCGGGTAGCCCAAAAAGTCGGCGGCGGACTTCACACCGATTTCAGATGCTGAATGCATCATATTCTCACGTATAGTAAACGTGCGCAGCTTTGAGGATCTTGGCGCGGTAAGCTTTGTAAAATGCGAAGCGAGCGCAAAGATCCGAACGCGCGTCGCGCACTTCGCGCCACAACTCTTTGTCTATAAACCCGCCAGTATCTTTTAAATACGCTAGGGTATTACTAGATTTTATGCAGGCACTCTTTTGGTCTAAAATTTGAATGATGTACTGGTTTTGGTTAGGCTTTTCAATTTGTTGTTGCGTTGGGGCGAATTTTTATTTACGGGGCCTTACCGTCGTTGTTTGCTCCTGATATTCCATATCATAGCATGGCACCAAATATATGGTTGTGGATGCACTAACAAAGATTTACCACAATAATAATTATGTAAGTTACGTGATTTGACGGGTGCTAGAAATCTTGAGGCATACAGCAGCGAAAAGAGTTCACAGGATTATTGATAGTCTCAACTCCAAGGCCAAAAATGAGGCTCAGAAACACACTGATTTACAAATCAACCTTGAGTGATAGCTAATATCAATTCGATTTCTTTCGTGGGTTTCTCGAGCGTATAGATAGCGAATCTCAATGTGCTTAGTCGACGTATGATTCCCAGGATTCTTTACCATATTTATTGCTGCCGTATTATCGCACCATGTATTGTGCTTTCATTATTTCTGCGGTCATAATTCTGTCGCAATTCCTATCTCCCTTTCATTGTAAAACCGACCGCGTTTATTTAATTCCGCCCTATAAGCGTTTAAAAGGCGGGACTAAGACAGCACCAACGCTTGGCACACAAAGCATCAGAGCGCGCCAAGGTAAGAAGAACTGATAGAAGTGCGCATCAGTGTTAAGGGTCCGCGGTAGTACTATCCGTTGTTTTGGGTCCTTGTGCAGAAATATACTGCAGCCTGAACGCCGCCGCCGCCAACCACTTCGACAGTCCGCCATTGTGTGTTCTCCGCTGTGTCGTCTGAGTGCTGGGCCGCACAGTAATCCCCCCCCCCCATTGGTAATCGGACTCAGAGTACCAGCCTAGCAAAGCCCGTTCGCTAACCTCGGCATCCTTCTGCTGCCCTCCCGCGCATCCCGGTACGAGCCGTTCTTTGTATTTGTACGTGTTGCCAAGGATAAACATCGTACATCGTACATTGTGCACTAATTGCCTAATTTGCTGTGTTTTCTATTTTGATGGTTGAAGAATTGCTGCTCTTCGCTTTGTACGGCAATACAACCTTCTGCAGCTGTGTATTTGTGTAAGACAGAGGGGTGTGAACAAGTGATGAAAATAATTCACTTAAGAGAAGAATGGTATGACTTCTTCAAATAACAACTGTGCTGTTGTTGTAAAAATAGAGTAGATTACGCTCGCGTCGCTGCTTCGTGTATCACTGGTGCGTACTAACAAATCGAGAAAAATGTGAATACAAATAATCTAACTGACGTTGTTTCCATCTATGTGTAGTAATTATGGCCTTGCCGCTGCCTACAACAATGGCTGTCGTCCTAACGCTAAAGGTGCACGAGCCATTTGGCAACAGCAAAACAGGCTATGGCACACCTCACACGATGGAGCTCGTGCTCAGTGATGGCTACCTCGGCTTCCGAGCTCGAGTGCGTAGACGGGTCGACAAGTTAAAGGAGATCGAATGGCAGGAGGCTGGTCCCATTTTGCTAAAGCCTACAATTAGCGCATCTCAAGCGAAGTTTGTCGCGTTGCCGAGTCCGATGATAAAAGAGGGATATCATTTTTCCTTATTTTATTTATCCGTTACAGACAAGCGGCATTTAAACTCGAGCTCTTTATTTATGTGAGCAAAGTTGCAGCATTCACGACGATACGCCAAGCGACGGAAGGACGGATTGCAGCTGCTGCTTCACTTATTGATGAGCATTTAAGTGCTCTCCCTGCGGCTGAACAACTGGGTGAAGTATCTCAAGCCTACTGGGCTGTGACGCACGCAAGGCAGCCAGAGCAAACCGCCCTAGTAATGCTTACTAACTCTACATTTACGCAGCTACAACGCATTGACACGCTGCAGCGTGAAGCTGACAGCGCCACCCAGGCTATCTCAAACTCCAGGGAGTTCATTACGATTCAATTTCGTATAAGCGGAGTGGTGGTACCTCTAGAAGTGAATGCTTCTGACATGCGTGAAGGATTCGACCTTCCTGACTACGATCTGCGGCCACCATACGACTAACTAGAACCTCCCAGAACCACCAACGTCAAGGCACCTTCCCACCAGTCAACTGATAAAAAATCAATACAGTAATTACCGGGACAATTTTATATTTTACGGACTTTTACGAAAGCCAATAATAAATTATTAAATAAATACAATGCTATAATAATTGTATTATATTTATTTTTCCAGAGCACTGACCCACAGAGTAGTCCACAATTAGGCTCTCGGTGTCTCTGCTGGTAGTTTGAGTTAGCCCCGCGTTCTTTGATTCGGGTAGGTTTGGCGGATTGCTATCCGCTAATCGCTGTGACTAATGCCGTATTTCAATCTCACTTTGATGTCGGCTTTGTACGTCTGCAGACCGCCATAACGGTCTCGACAGATCTGAGTAAATATCTTCTACCCAATGTAGATTCTTTATTACAATCCTCATCTACCTAAGACCTGCTATCAAAAGCTTACAGAATCTGCGTCTTCGTGGTGTACCTTGTGCACGCTTGCTTCACATCCACTACCAGCTGCGGCCGTCGGTTTTGCGGCCACGAATTCATACTTAAGCGAATCGGAATTTTCTAAAGCGCCGGGGTTCGAACCCGCAACCTCCCGATCAGAAGCTCAGTGTTTAGCCACTGCACCATCTGACCGGTGGGTCTCGACAGATCTGAGGTGGCGGGCAATCGTCCTTGTTTTACATGTACGACATTAGTATGACGATAGTGTTTAGGAGTATCAGTGCGATCTATTGAGCGGTGGCACGGTCTCTTTAAATCAAAGGGAAACGTGTTGTTACAAGGTAGCAAGAACAAATCGGCTAGATCGCCTAAGGAGGCGATGGAGTTTGTAGAAGATTATATTCGTGTTCATCCGTGTTTACTTAGAGGAGCTGCAGGGGCAGTGAAGAAAAAGTTGGGTAACACACTGAACAACTCTACTCCTACACTATGTCGCTTGCTTAAATTTGACCTCAAAATAACTAGAAAAGTACTAACTAAGCGCGCACGCGAAGGCGTGCCTGCCGAAGGGGAGATTATTTATCGAAAACTACGGCCATTCTATAGTGGACCCGACCAGTTAGTTTTTATCGATGAAGCCTCTGAAGACGGTAGCGATGCGCTTAGAAGGTATGCATGGTCACGTCGAGGTACACCAGCAATTGTATCGCTTCCTTTTAGTCGTGGGAGCGTTTGTCAGCTCTGGCGGCTTTTGACGCTACCGGTTTCTTTGCGTGGGAGACCACTTTAGGCACGTTCGACAGAATCGCTTTTCACGACGTGTTCCGGCGGAAGATATCACCAAATCTCTATCCGTGGCCATTACCGAGGTAAAACAAAAACCTGTTTTTGATATTGGCTTGCTAACATTGCTAATGCGCTATTTTTATCTATCGTTCTTCTCGACAACGCAAAAATTCACATGTACCGGGGGCTGAAAGACATGGTGCACTCTCGTGGTAGTAGCTTATTTTTCCTGCCTCCATACTCACCCCAGCTCAATACAATCGAAGTTGGCTTCTCTTTGCTCAAGCGTTGGCTAATTCGACTTTGTACACTTCCTTACTCTTTAGTAAGTGACCGCTCCAGTCAAACTACCAACCATACACTGTCTATTAAAGAAAATATTAGATATTTTTGATAATAATAGTGGTATTTCAAGGATATCTAAACAATTTACTAGAGTAAAGATCTAAAAGATTACTACTTATGCTACACGTATTAGATAATAAAAAAAAAACAATATAAACGTGTAGTAAAGGCTCACGGGGTCTTTCCGTCTAACTTTAGAAAATCCGCAGCTTCATACTTAAATTTTGGTACATTGTACAAGGGCAACACTCAATGTTCTCAGCGGGTCTTGTCGAAAATCCAACTCCGTTAAATTCACTGTCATTCACTGAGTTGGCTTTTTGACAAGACCCGTTTAGGACATTGAGTGTCACTAGTCAAATCCTCTGAGTTGGCTTTTCGACAAGACCCGTTGAGGATATTGAGTGTTGCCCTTGTACAATGTACCAAAAAGAACGAAGATGTCGGCCCTATCAGCACTGTGGTTATGGTCTTCAGAATCTAAACAGAAACTGCTTTTTCAAGTTAGGAAAACATATTTGCTTACTTACCAGCTTTATTCCATGCTCGCATCGCTCATGTGGCCGGTGTCTTCTACATTGAGCGGCTGGCTTCAACGCGTCGAGTGATCGACGTCGCGGGTCCTACCGCGGTAGCACTGGGCGAAGCAATCGTTCCCTCATTTGCTTTCGCTGTGGGAAGAAAGGTCATCGCGCGGCGGAGTGCCGCGCGCCATCTCCCGTCGTCGCTCACGCGGATGCGGAGCATTCCTCGATTGCTCATTAAAAACACGGCCCAGATCAGTAGGTGCGGGGGTGGCCCTACTAACTTTAAAGAAGGACCGGGCCCTCCGGTGGCAGCCCAACCTTCGAGCCCCCCGTGCTCCAAGCACACACCAATGCCACCACCACGCCGGGCGACTCGAGACTGATCATCGTCAGCCTCCATGTCACCGGTGCCCGGCGACCACTGCGCGCGCTCCTAGACTCAGGAGCGACCAGCAACTTCTCTCGCGCGTCGAGTTTGTCGGTCCTATCCAAGAACGTCCGCGTTCGGAATGGTCCGGGCGAGATTCAAGTCAAACTCGCCGATGTTAAGGCTTGCCGCGTTGCGCGGCGTGACGTGTTCTTGTCGTACACGTTCGACGGCTTCCGTAGCAAGGACGACTTCTTGGTGACCAAGATGTATTATGCGTTTGACTGCATCCTGGACATTCCATGGCTTGCGCGATATCAGCCACAGATTGACTGGCTGGCCCAATCGGTCAAGCGTCGACGTGGATTCGACGTGATCGAGGTCTTCACACATCTCTTGGTGGCGCCAAGAGACTGGCCCCACGTCACAGTCGTGGACAAAACAGCAACGACGCAGGCACTACACAGAGCGAGCGATGGCCCTCTCTACATGGCTTGTGCTACGTTGTTGGATGAAGAGCCCTCGCGGTATCGCGAGGTAGATGATGAAGTGGTCGAGCAGGGGCTCCAACAATACGAGACAGTGGTCGAGCAGGGGCTCCCACACAGCGAGACGGCGGTAGAGCAGAGGTTCCCGCCGAACGATTCGGCGGTCGAGTAGATTGGGCTCCCTTCAAACGATACCGCGGTTGAGCAGGTACTCCCGCGTGTTCCCGGCCAGGTCGAGTACGGTCTCCCGCGCCAAGAGGAGGGTAATGCATCGTCGAGTAGCAGTGAGTCAGACTCGAGCGTGAGCTCGAGGAAGCCGAAGGAGAAGTCGAAGAGACGACGCCGGAAGCCTCGTCGAGACTCCACGACCAGCGATAGCCCGCCGCTGGAATCGGTCAGCGCGCTCGAGTACGCTCGCGCACTATCGCAGTCGCGAGTCCACCGCGTGAAGCGGCGGTGATCACACGTCTTCCAGGCTTGTCCTGGAAGAACTTTCTTCGGGACCTCAAAGATGGAGACGTCGAGCAAGTGTGCTTGGTCACCGAGGCAGTCTCGGTGGATGAGTCAGCAAATGCAGTCGCAACGGATAGTGACCGTTCATGTCCGCTAGGTGCTGAACCTAAGTCTGCTCGTAAGGAACGATTTTAAACGCAGTCCTGGGAGGCCTCGCGGGCTCAGAGAATCCCGTATACGACACCGCCTGTGAGTACGTCGACGCCTTCCAGGATGAGATCCCCGCCGAGCTACCGGCGGATCGTAGGGTTCAGCACGAGATCGACCTCGCACCAGGTACGAGGTACTGCATCACCAGACAATGACCACTTTCCCGTGATAAAGTGAAAGCGATCGATGACTTCTTCGAGAGCCGCCGAAAGGCGGGTTACGTGCGCGAGAGTACCTCGCCCCATTCAAGGCCAACGTTCTGTGTGAAGAAAGCTACAGGGGGGGGCATTGTGCACGCATTCAACAAATTGAATGATGCCACCATCCCCGCGCAGACACCGATCCCTCGGAAGGACATGGTACTGGACTCCATGGATGGCAGCGTTATCTACAGCGCCATCGACCTGACCGATGGATTCTATTAGACCCTGATGAGAGCATGTGATGTGCCTCTCACCGCCGTAAGTACACCGAGTAGATGCTCTGGGAGTGCCACAGGGTCTGAAGAACGCGCCTGCCACCTTCAATCTCATGGTCTCCCATGTGCTTCGTCTGCTCCAAGATCTCGCGCCGAGTTACTTCGACGACATCTTCGTGCACAGCCGCGCTGAGGGCGACGTCAGTGCCGTGGAAGTACACTTGAAACACCTGAGGCAAGTATTCCAGGTGATGCGAGAGAATAAGCGCTACGCAAACCTGAAGAAATGTGTCTTCTGTGCACCGGAGATTCCGGTGTTGGGATGCTACGTGAGCAAGAGCGGTGTGCGCGCAGATCCCGAGAAGGTCTCGTCTATCTGTGCTTGGCCAACGCCTACAAGCCCCACTGAGCTGCGTCAGTGGCTTGGCATGGCCGACTACTTGCACAAGTGTACGAAGAATTACGCTGGGTTGATCCAGCCGCTGTCCTCGCTGCTGAAGAAGGACATGATCTGGGAGTGAAAATCGGTCCACCAAGCTGCATTCGACTCGGTGAAGAAGCGCAAGGCGTCTGCGCTGATCGGGAAGCTTGCTGATGACTCGAAGCCATTCCACGTCGTCTGCGACGCGAGCGATTTTGCCATCGGCTGTGCGCTGATGCAGCTCGATGATGACGAACATGAACGCGTTATCAGCTATCAGTCGCGACAACTGAAGCCAGCCAAGAAGAACTACCCAATCCACGACAAGGAGCTCCTGGCAATGCCGTACGCTCTGATCAAATTCAGAGTGTACTTGCTCGGTGAACAATCGTTGGCGGTTTACACTGATCACGCATCGCTGTGGACAGCGATGAAGAGCCCTCACTTGTTGCAACGGATGGCCCGTTGGCTGTCCTTCTTCTCCGAGTACAACTTGGTTGTTCACTACAAGCCGGGCAAGAATAACATTCTCGCCGACGAGCTGTCTC